CGTTTCTCTAGGGAAAATGCCCAGCAGTACGATTTTCAGGTCATAGGGCAAGTGTATGTTCAGTTATAAAAGAAACTGTCAAACCATTTTCCATAGAGGCTATATCATTTCATATTTCCATCATCAGTGAAAGGGAGTTCCCGTTCTCTGCTTCTTCATCAGCATTTGGATTATCTCAGTCTTTCATTTTACCCACTCTAATAAATGTGTACTGATATCTCATTTTGGTCTTAATTTGCATTTCTCTAAGAGATTGTGGTGTTGAACATTTTTTCATGTTCTTATTTGCCATACGTACACCTTCTTCATTGAAGTCTCTCTCCCTGTGTTTTGCCTATTTTCTAATTGCATTGTTATTGTTTAACAGTTGAGTTTTTAAAGTTCTTTTATATCTATATTCAAATCCTTTATCAGTTATGTGATTTTTAAGTACTAGAGAAAGTACCTGGACAAGCTCCTGTCTGCAGGTTGTCTTTTCATCCTTTTAACAAGGACAACTTTTTAATTTTGAAGAAGTCCAGTTTTTTAGTTTTTTCTTTTTATGGATCATGTTTTGGGGCAATGTCTAAGAATTCTCACCAACCCCTAGGTCCCAAACATTTCTCCTATGTTTTCTTCCATTTTTACATTAAATGATTTATTTTGAGATAGGTTTTTTTAATTAAGATTTAAGGTTTAGGATGAGGTACATTTCTCTGCCTGTAAATATTCAATTGCTTCAGCACCGTTTGTTGAGAAGACTCTCTTTCCTCCAATGAACTGCTTGTACTTCTCTGTCACAGATCACCTATCAGAATTTATGTGGCTCTATGTATTGGTTATTGTGTGTGCATGTGTGCGTTTACATGCACACACRAATGTATGATGGAAATTGAACCCAGGGGCACTTTGTCACTGAGCTATACCCCTAGCCTTTTTTATTTTGAGAGAGGGTCTTGCTAAGTTACTGTGGCTGTCTTCCCACTCACAATCCTCCTACCTCAGCCTCCTAAGTCACTGGGATTACAGAGGTGCACCACTGCACTCAACCTTACTTTTTAATTTTCTTGAATTGATCTATGTGTCTAGCATTTCTCTAATTCCACAGTATTTATTACTGTATGTCTTAAAATTGAGTAGAGTGATTCCCCTGTTTTTCTTTCTCAAAATGATTTTATTCTAATTCCTTTGCATTTCCATATATATTTTAGAAAATCTATATCAATACTATTGTTCATATTTTGATAGGAATTGAGTTAAATCAGTATATCAATTGAGAGATAACGGACATCTTTACTATGTTGAGTTTTCCAATCCATGAAAACAATGTCTCTCCATTTAGTTAGCTTTTTTTTTTTTTTCAGTGTTTTGCAGTTTTCAGCTTATGAGTTGTGGAAATGTTTTGTTTGATTTATTCTTATCTCATAATTTTGAAATGACTGTAAATGGTATTATATTTTAAATTTTGGCTTATGCATACTTATTGCTAATGTATAAAGATACAGTTTATCTTGTATCCTGTGACCTTGCTGAACTCACTTAAGAATTCTATGAATTCTTTTGCATAGTTCTTAGGATTATCTATATAGACAATCATGTTATCCACAAAAGGAACAGTTTTCTCTCTTACTTTGCAATGTAGACCTTTTCTTTTCTCTTCTCTTCTTGTTTTATTACAATGGCTAGAAAGTCAAATACCATATTGAAGAGCAGGGTTGGGAGCAGACATCCTTTTCTTGTCCCCAGTCTTAGAGGAAATGCATTCCCTGTTAGGTATGATGTTTGCTGTAGGGTTTTGTAGGTATTCTTTATCAAGATTAATAAATCCTGTCTTTCTTGTTTGTTTACAGTTTGTTTTTTTTAACTCATGAATAGGAATTGGATTTTGTTAAATGCTTTTCCTGTAACACTTAACAAGATTATATGATTTTTCTTTGACCTGTTAATAAGCATATCACACTGACTGGTTTTCAATATTACATAAACTCCACTTGGCTGTGATATATACAATTTTTAATAGTTTAATTCTTTCTAGCTGGTATTTAAAGGGTTTTTACATGTATGTCCATGTTAGCCTCACAAAATTAGTTGGAACGTGTTCCTCTTCTGTTTTCTTGAAGAGATTAATTAGAACATTGTGGGKTTTTTTTTGGGGGGGGAGTCTTTAATTACAAAATCAAATCCTTTGATATAAGTATTAAATTAGCTATTTCATATTGGGTGAGTTCTGTGGTTTGCGCTTTTTGAGGATTTCTTTCTTTCTACCTAAGTTTTCAAACATGGAGAGGAATTTCCAGTTATCTTGTATAGTTGCTTTAATGTCTGTGTGGTCTGAGCATTTCTCCCATTTCATTCCTGATACTAGAAATTTGTTTCCTCTATTTTTGTTCCTGTTGTACTTGAGCTTTGTCATTTTGTTTATATGATATCTCTTGTTCCAGCCTTTCACTTTCAATCTATCTATAACTAATATATTTGAAATGAGTTTCTTATTGGCAGAATAGTTAGGTCATGTTTTTTACTGCACTCTGCCCTTCTCTGTTTTTAATCCATATATTTACCATTTCTATTTAAAGTAAATATTGATGCATTCTTTTTCTTGATGCCCTGGAGGTTACTTGGATATTTTTCAGAATTCCATTTTTATGTATCAGTGGTATGTTACAGTGTATATGTTTTTAGAGATATGTTTTAGGGCCTGCTCTAAGAATTATATTGTATATACACAACTTAGCACAGTCCACTGGTGTTGAAATTTTACCAATTTAAGTGAAGTATAGAAACTTTATCTTGATTTAAATCCCTCCATTCCCCCAATTATAATTTTCATAAATACTTCCTTCATGACATTGAGAACCACATCAAACAATGTAATAATTTTGCTTCAACATCAAAAATAATTTAGACATCTCAAGAGGGGAGATAGAATATATGTTGCATTTACCCAAATTTTTACTTTTTATATTGTTCTTTTTTCCTTCCTGATGCTTGTTGTGAGATTGTTTATTTCACTTCAGAAACACCTTTACCCTGAAATCCCAGCGCTCGTTTCAGAAGTTGTTCTATTGTCAAGCCGATTATATAATTTTTGTTGAAATAAAAAGCAACAAAACTCGCCGGGCTTGGTGGTGCACACCTGTGATCCCAGTGGCTCGTGAGGCCAAGGCAGGAGGATCACAAGTTCAAAGTCAGCCTCAACAACTGCGAGGCACTAAGCAATTCAGTGAGACCCTGTCTCCAAATAAAATACAAAATAGGGCTGGGGATGTGGCTCAGTGGTCAAGCACCCCTGAGTTCAATACCCGGTACCAGAAAAAAAAAGAGAAAGAAAGAAAAGAAAAGTCCAAGTAGTAAGTTTTCTTCTAGTTTGAAGTGAGCTTACTGCTGGTGGTAGTGAGATGAATGCTGTAGAAATCCTAGCCCCAGGGTGGTTGACATTCCTTGCACATGGCTTTCTGTTGCTTACTCTCTGAATGGCCTTAGGAGGACCCAAGTTTCGTATATAGGGTACATAAAATGCACAACAGGGAGATGTACATAAGAACATGCTCAATTACAGAAGAATGAATTGGACACAACTTTCGTATGTTCACATGTAAATATACAAACTGTAATTCCACATCATGTACAACCACAATAATGGGAAGTTATACTCCATGTATGTATGATATGTCAAAATACATTCTCCTGTCATGTAGAACTTTTTTAAAAAAAGATTAAAAAATTAAGAAAAACAAAAGAATATGTTCAATTAGTATTGATTACTTTTGGTGGGACTGAGCTATATAGATGTGACTTCTACCTGAAACATCAGGAATGTGTACCATATAGACTGGTGAATAGATGTGGGATCTAGAATCAAAAGAGTAATTACACACAGAGCTGTGGGTCCTCAGGTAAGTAATGTTGCTCTCTGAGCTTCGATTCCCCATTTTTGGGTGGGGATAATAAACTAGTAGTTTATTGCCTATAGGGGAGTTAGGGAGAGAAAACTAGGATAAAGTATGTTTTAAACATAGAGCAATGTTTGGATGCTAAAGAGAAGCACATTAGATCAGTGGTTCTCAATCTTGGCTCTATGTTATAATCACCTGTAGAACTTGAAAAGGTCCCAGTCCCCAGACTGTGCCCCAAACCATTATGTGACAATTATTCATTCATCCATCTATCTTACCTCTCCACTCCCCCTCCTTCTCTTCCTCCTTCTCTGCCTTTTCCTCCTCCTTCATCTGTTTTCCTGTTTATCATCTATCTACCGACATACCTACATACTTTTTTTTAAGGCAGACTCTGTAAATAGTTAAAAGAAATTTCACCTGAGTTTCCACCAGAGAATATGCACCAAGTTCTTGGGGATGGCATTTTATAGAGGCTGTTGCTGTGAAGGAGATATCTCCTGGGGTAAGGATGGAGAGTGGTTAGACTTAGGAAAAGGGTTGATTCCAAAGAACAGAAATGTTGGAGATGTCAACCTAAAGTTTAGCTGTTCTGCTGCGTGGACAAGTTTTATTTTGAAATGGTGAGGGTGCCTGAGTTCATTATCATGAACTAGGACAGGGATGACAGCTTGGGGGAGGTGAGGCTATGCACACACTTCAGTCTACGTTAGTGTCAAACAAGACCAAGCAATGAGTGCCTGGAATATGCTCCTTAAATTTTCTTCTCTGGGGACACTGTTTAAGTAAGAGCTTTGGCCACAACTGGTGACCTTCGAAAAGTATTTCTAATGAGCATGCTAACTTCAGTAATTGCTTTCAAGACTTAAGTCTTTAAGCAAAGCAGAAGACTGAGTTGTTGGAAATAGCCTTGAAAGAAGACATTTTAACAGAAACAAGATTTGTTCCTGATCTTCATATTTTCAATATTTCATGAACAAAATATTTCACTGGAATCGGTATTTTGAGAATTAACCAAACATAGCGTTCTATCCAAAAGAAACTGGGCAGAGAAAGGAAAGTGTCCCCAGTTGAGATGTTCTGGCTCTGATCTCTGATATTTTCTCCTCTGCTCTCCAGAATCACATGTCATGGGAAGAACCAGCAGGTGAGAAGCTCAGTTATTCTCCTGGTCAGAAAGCTTTTCACATGGAGCCAGCACAGAGGCCATTCTTCACCACTGAGATAGTGACATGGACCCTCCCCTCCGTCTCTGTAGAGGATATCCTCAGGGAGACCTTTTCACAGCCCAGAAGGGCTGCAAAGCACTCACACATCAGTTTGGATGACCTATGGCTGGAGAAGACACAGAGAAAGAAGCTGGAGAAGCAGATACAGGCTAGAAGGAAGACATGCACAGGAATAGTGCACCCAGACAAAGTCCAGGTAAGCCAGGCATCCTCTCATCTGGCCTGCTATCCCCTCATCCTCTGTAGGAGCCTGCCATTTCTGGACTCTGACCTGCACTGAACTTGTCACCCCATTAGCACACTAATGGGGCCCCACCTAACATGAACCTGTATGTGTCAATCAGATTTCTGTGACTATAACAAATACCTGACATCAAGCAACTTACAAAATAGAAAGGTTTATTTTGGCTCAATGGTTTGGAGGTTTCAGTCCATGACCAATTGGCCCACTGTTTTGGACCTATGGCAGCATAATACATCATGGCGGGAGTGCATGAGAGAGGAAGCCTATTCATATCATGGTGGCCAAACAGAAAAAGAAACGGGAGTCCCACAATCCCCTTTAAGGCCATTCCTCCAGTAACCTAAAACCTCCCACGAGGCCTCACCTTTTAAATGCTCCCACACCTCTCATAACACCAAGCTGAGGACCACGTAGGTCTTTGGAGACATTCTAGATCCAGTGCAAGAGACACTTCACAGAGACATGTTCCCTACAACCACCAAGGTCAGGGTTCCCTCTTCATCCTCCACGTGTGTCCCTTCCTGTGGCCACTCCTGTGCAGGACCGGAGGGCAGGGAGGAGGAGGGGGTCCTCGCCCTCAAGGATCTCACCATGGCAATGACCATTTAGTGAGAGGCCTCCTGTGTCACATACTGTTGGGCACAGCATGAGCATGAGCTCAAGCACTCAAAAAAGGAGCATGACATTTTGATAAGAGTCTTAATGAAATTAATAAAATGCAGATACACTGTCCCATTTCTTTTTTTTTGTCCACAGCGACCTTCTGACCCCATGATAGTTTGCATAAAACTTACAGCCTATTAAAAATGACTGCAGTCTTGGCATCTTACCTTTAGTCAACTCTCACTCTGTGTCTTATTCTTTCCCTTGATACAATAGCCATTTTTTATTATCCAGTTCTTGTGAAGTATACATCTGAGTCTCTCCTCATCCTTGAATACCAGCTTTTTTTACTGAGGTGTAATTCACATAAAAATTTACCATGTTACAGTGAACAATTCAGTAACACTTGTTTGTAAGCATCACCTCTATCTGGGCCAAAGGCATTTCATTACTCTAAAAGGAAACACCGCATCTATTAGGCAGTCACTACCCATTTCTCCTCCCCAAGCCCTGACAAGCATTAATCTGCCTTCTGTCCCTAAGGATTTACCCATTTTGGATATTACAAAGAAATGGACTCACACCATATGTGACCTTTTGTGTCTTGTTGTTTTTTTTTTTCACTTAGTATGTTTTTACAGTTCATCTATGTCTTAGCATATATCAGTACTTAATAGTTTTTGTAGCTAAATAATAGTCCACTAGAGAGACATATTTGTTTCATTTTCATTCATCCATTAATAGACATTTGTTTGTACCTTTTGTCCATTATTAATAGTGTTTCTAAGACTAGTATAAAGACTTTTGTTTGAAGACAATGTTTTCTGTACTGTGGTATATATCTGGGAGTAGAATTACCAGGTCATATCATAATTCTGTGATTAACTTAGAGAAATCACCAAGCTGTTTTCCACCCACCACTCTATTTGTTTTTTTTAATTCCTTTTATTTTTGAAATACATGACAGCAGAATGCATCACAATTCTTATTACACATATAAAACGCAATTTTCATATCTCTGTTTATATATAAAGTATGTTCACACCAATTCATGTCTTCATACATGTACTTTGGATAATGATGTCCATCACATTCCACCATTCTTGCTAATCCCCTGCCCCCTCCCTTTCCCTCCCTCCCCTCTGCCCTATCTAGAATTCATCTATTCCTCCCATGTTCCCCCTCCCTACCCCACTATGAGTCAGCCTCCTTATATCAGAGAAAATATTCGCCATTTGGTTTTTTGGGGATTGGCTAATTTCACTTAGCATTATCTTCTCCAGTGCCATCCATTTACCTGTAAATGCCATGATTTTATTCTCTTTTATTGTTGAGTAATATTCCATTGTGTATATATGCCACATTTTTAATCCATTCATCTACTGAAGGGCATCTTGGTTCCCACAGTTTAGCTATTGTGAATTGTGCTGCTATAAACATTGATGTGGCTGTGCCTCTGTGGTATGCTGTTTTTAAGTCCTTTGGGTATAGACTGAGGAGAAGGATAGCTGGGTCAAATGGTGGCTCCATTCCCAGTTTTCCAAGGAATCTCCATACTGCTTTCCATATTGGCTACACTAATTGCAGTCCCACCAGCATTCTATTTGATTTTTTTTCCAGCAGTATACAAGGGTTGCAAGTCCTCACATTCTCCCTGTTTTCTGTTTTGTTTTATTATTGTCGAAAGATAGGAAGTATTGAAAGGATATGAAGAAACGGAAATCCTTGCATACTGATGATGAGGATGTAAATTAGCTATAGCCATAATGGAAAACATTTTCCAAAAAACTAAACATAGAAACACCGTATGATCCAGCAATCCCGCTTCTCAGTATTTACCCTAAAGATTTGAAATCAGTATGTTGGAGACACGTCTGTACTCCTGTGTTCATTGCAGCACTATTCATAGTAGCCAAAAAATGGAAAGAAACACATGAATGGATAAAGAAAACATGGCACATACACATAATGTAATTCTATTCAGCCATAGAAAAGGAAGAATTTTTTTGTTATTTGCAAGATCATGGATAAAATGGAGAACGTTACGCTAAGTGAAATAAGTCAAATGCAGAAAGGCAAATACCACTTACATGTGCAATCTAAAACAATGAAGTTCATAGAAGCAGAAAATAAAATAGTGGTTACCGGAAAAGGTGGGGTTGGAGGGAGTGGGAAAATGTTAATCAAAGGGTACAAAGCATCAATAAGAGAGGAAAAGTAACTTTGACTTGTTTTTTAGATTTATCGCACAACAGGATGAATAATAGAGTATTGTACATTTCAATATCCATCACTAAGAGAGTAAATCTTAAATATTCTCATCACAAAAATGTTAAATATTTGAGGTGATGAACAGGTTAATTAGCTTGATTTAATCATTCTACATTCTGTGTAAATATAAATTGTAACATCACTTTATACCTCATAAATATATACAACTATAATTTATCAATACCTAATTTTTTTTAAGTTCTTAAAGAAAGTACAAAGCAAAATTTAGGTGGGAAGAGAAACCAAATATACGATTCTCAGATTTCCAAGGTAGTTGTGTTTTCTTTTTACCATGAGTTCTCCACTTGGTTGAGTCATTCAGCGGTTAAAAGAAAACCTGTGAATACGGTAAAAATATATATATATATATTAATTCAAAAACCTGGTTAGTGTTATACAAGACAAGTGCTATGGGGAAAATCAAGTTTTAAATGTTGATGAGACTGGTTTATTTTACAAGGGTATTGACAAATGAACCTAGATAATGCAGATAGCATTTTGTTTGACAAAAGTGTGACCAAGGGCTGGTGTGTGACTCAGTGGTAGAGTACATGCTTAGCATGCACAAGGCCCTGGGTTCAATCCCCAGCACCTTTCAAAAATAAAATGTGACCAGAGACCCACAGGAACTGTTTCACCTAGGAGCAACAGTGCAATATTTTCTAATTCAGTGTTTGTGAAGAATTCTAGAACACAGGTAGCACAAAAAATAAGAAATGACTAATTTGGGCTGGCATTGTGGCTCAGTGGTAGCGTGCTCTCCTAGCAAGTGCGAGGCCCTGGGTTCRATCCTCAGCACCACATGAAAACAAATAAAGGTATTGTGTCCAACTATAACTAAAAAATTTAAAAAATTTTTAAAAAAAGAAATGACTAATTTGAAGATGCTTCCTAATGCTCCAGGAAGATGGTTTGGGAGACAGTTGCTCTTCTACCTGTGATGGGGTCATGTCCTGATAAATCCATCGTAAGACAGAAGTGTACTTAATCCTCCTAACCTATCGTACATCATAGCTCAGCCACACAGGATGCTATAGTCTGTTGGTTTTTCCCTTTTGTGTTCACATGGCTGACTGGGAGCTGCAGCTGACTGCCAGTGCCCAGCATTGCCGAAGAGTATGGTACCACATATTGCTAGCCTAAGAAMAGATCCAAATTCAAAATTCAAAGTAAAGTTTCTATGGAATGTGTATCATTTGTGCCCTATTTAAAGTAAAAAAAATCCAAAATTGAACCATCTTTGGTCAGGAACCATCTGGAGGTGGACATAAAGCAGTCATATTCAGTTGTTCTCATTGTCTGTATATTAAAAAACTTTTTCCCCTGTGGTTTGTAGTTCCATCCCCTGCATTTTCCCTGACCAAAACTAGGCAGAATTTACAGAAATACTAAAAAGTGTCAAGGCTTTGTTATCATGTCACCTTTTCTCTAGTAATCTGGGCTTTCACTTTCCCGCTCTGCCACACATTTCCTGCAACTCTTCCTTTGGAGCCAAGTGGCAGGAGGACGAATTAAAAAGAGACAAGAGTCTTCCCCCATGCCTTAGGATGACAGCTCTCTGGTCAGAGAGGATTCTTCTCCTTCCCGGTTTCAGATGCCTGTCTGGAGCCTGAATCTTATTACTATATTTGGATTGCCTCTGGGGTTGGGTTGGAAGAAAACACCATCAGAATACACAGGATTTCTCCCATCCCTTCATACCTTCAGGCACCTCCCTTCCCTCTTCAGAACAGACAGGGCTTCTTTGGAGGCCATTTTGCCCATATCCAGTTTTAAGCGCTGCTGAATTCAGGCAGGAAAATACACAAGAACAACAAAATAGGAAACTCACTTCACTACAGGATGGGGGGTAACCTCCAAACCTGGCTTCCTTCCCCAGTCTCTCTGCTACCATTGATTTTCTCTGATAGCTGACTCGTATATTCTGCCCAAGGTCTTCAGTGGCATTCAAATGGAAGGGATGGGATGGAATGCAATGCCCCATCCTAACCTTTGCATATTTATGCTTCCTGCATTACTGTTTGCTTAAATATACAGGGATATAAAGTCAAAAAGACAAAAAGGAAGCATTTATTTGCATACATACCATGATTTTTAAGATACTACAATAACCTTATTAGAAGGTAGCAAAGGTGGTGGGGAGCTATTATCTTCTCAGACAATGAAGAGATACAGGAAAGGACAATATCTTTTCCTTCCCAAGACCCCAGGCAACATTGGTTCTTACTGTCTGAGATATCAAAGCCTTCTTGAATTACATTTTAGTCAGTTGCCCCCCAAAAGGATACACCTTGGCTGAAACTAACAGTTTTGCTTTGGGGAAAATATCAGGCTGTTAGCTAACTGCTGGAGGTGATGTGGATGCCTGAAGCCCTTATCAAGAGCCCTCCTTTTAAGTTCCTGAATGGCAGCCTTTCCTGCCAAGGTTGCACACCTGGCTATGCACGTTACATAGTTCATACTCCAGGAAAAGCTTTCCTGGTGGATTTTGGTGTGAATGGCACCTTCTGGAGCTGTGCACATTTTGGCTGGGGCTCTGCTCACAGGAAAGGTCCTGGGCAATTGGAGGTGGCAATGACAGCCTACCATCTGTTTTGTTTATTTACCCTCTGCCTCTTTCCTCCTCTGCCAGTGTTGGAGGGAGACAATTATCACCTCTCCAGAGTCTCTGCATCTCCCTAGAAGAAGCCATCTGCTCTCCCAGAGTGCCCCGATGGGACTGAACCACCTGGGCTGGCCAGAGCATATACCTGACACCGGTGAGCTACATGTCTCTCTTTCTCATTATATACTTAGGTGTTCTGGCAAGAAGGACAAGAATGAGTGTTTTGATGGTTGTGTCTACTTGTCTAGCAGTTAGGAAGGAGTACGTGGTACCTACAGAAAGAGAATTCTTAGGTTGGGGCAGATTCGATGATGGAGCTCCCAAGCCTGGCTCTATTAGTTTATTTTGAGCAAAGCTACTGACTAAGCCTTGGTATTTATTATAGCAGGATAAACCTGCAGAATAAATAATCATGTAGTGACTTTTCTCTAATCCAATGATGGAACTTGGGTGCTTTCCCATCTGAGGACCAGTAATCTCTCCCTTGAATTTTACACCACCTCCATGAATTTCTTTCCCAAAACTATAGCAAACAGCATCACATCACAAATATATGTCCACAAAAGGAAGGGCTTTTTGTGTCAGAAGGGAAGTGGGCCCCAAATGAGAGCCAGAATGAGGCCTCTTCATACACAGGTACCACCTTTCTTAGCCCTAACCCAAGAGAGCTGGGCATGCTAAGAGATGTTCAAAGGATCCTGGCCAAGGGCTAGATGTTGCGTCTCTGGTCCTGAGCAGATACAGATTATTATGGGCAACCTTAAAATGCATTTAAAGTACAGGTTATTATCAGCAACCCTAAAATGCTAGATTAATTTAGCCAACTGAAGGAAGAGACCAATTCTGGTGTTTAAGACAGGTGAGCAAGAATAAAACCGAAGCAGAGTTGAAAAACAATAGTTATACCTATCAAACATGTAATTTGTCCAGGCTTGGGAAGTAAGGAATAGGTCAATAGTTGCTGCTTTGGGAGCTAAAGAGCCATAAGAAGCAGTAAAGTTAGAAGATGAGAGGGGAAAGCTGTAGTTAGCCCAAGCATTAGCATTTGGCACATGCCGTTCCAAGGAGTCTGYTCTGAGGCAGATCCTGATCTTGAGCCTCAGTCTGCCTTAGTACATACGATGTGCTCGTCCCTGGCAGAGCTGGCAGTCTAGATTAGCTGGTGGACATGACTGTTTTCTGTCAGCAAGGGTACATGCTGAGGCTGCATGTGGACTGCTCCTCTTTCCCACATATGGCTGTGATCTTAAACTCACAGCCAGCAAAGTCATGAAAAATTACTTGGCAATTGCTTAAAGAATCATTTCTAGAGAGAAGAGATTTTCTCACATGAGCCCTTCATTAAGCCGTGGAATTATTGAGAGGATTGTGGAAAGGACAATCATGGGAGAGATTCGCTTTTTTTCTGGAGATAATCTATCCTCAAAGCTGATTTTGACCCTTTAAGTCAAATGCATGTTCTTACAGATTCAGGGTTTCATAATATTATAGCCCTATCATTTCAGAGCATCATTTGAATTAAATGAAAGATGAATTTATTGCTGATAAAACTTTAAACCTTAGTAACACACAACCCAACATGTGTTACACTAAGGTTTAAAATTTTAGAGAACTGCTGAAGTCAGAGGTCAGGGCTCTGACTGGCCACACTTGACATCAGGGTAAGAAGGGTGGGCCCATCCCCCATTTCTCTGTTATCCCAGATTCTTTTTCATCATGAAGGAATGAAAATTCCCATCTTCCTATCTCACAAGATTAGTATGAGGGACTAGTGAGGAGTGTGTATATTTAAGTTTGGGGAAATTTTCTTTCTTTATTGCTTCTTCTCCAACTGTTTTCTTCCCAACTTCTGAAATGTCTACTTTATACAAATTATATTTCCAGTTTCTGCACCCAGCACCTCGCATCTTCCCCCACCACCACCCCAATTCTTTTTCTTTTTAGTTCTGGAATTATTTCTACATTTTATCTTCTACTTTACTTTTCTGGTTTTAACTCATCTGTATTCACTGCCTTCATTAGAGCTTGTGATTCAGTGGTCATTTTTAATCTCCATACAGTCTTTCCAATTTTCCCTTGAAGGATAAGAACAGAAAATCAGAAATTTTGTAGTTTTTTTTTCCCCTCCTGTTTATGGCTTTTGGTTCTTTTCCAAACTCGTCTGCTGTTCTTTTGATTGTTAGAATTTCTTAGTAGGAGAAATTCTTCTATTTGCTCATTCTTCCCTATCAGTGGCTTATTGTCCAGTAGCAATAGAAATAAGATTCTTTCAGAACCTGTTACAAGTTCAGATCCTTCCAACACAGCTGCAGTGGGACATGAAAAGCTAACCATTCCTGTAATGTGTAGCACATAAAAACAAGAAACCAGTTCCTTCCACCTTTTTAGGTGAGCTCAGTCACCTAAAAAGATGAGAGAACTGTAAGCAGTCCTGGAAGGACTTTTTCTTGTGATTTTGGGGGGTGCTGGGGACCAAACCCAGGATTGAGCTTGCTAGGCAAGGGCTGTACCACTGAGCTATACCTTCAGCCCCTGGAAAGACTCTTATCAGAATTTCTTCTCCATGTTTGAAGAGGTAGCCAAGAATTGGCCTGATGTGGGAACTGCTGCCTTCTGCACTGCAAGATGGTGTCCAGCATCAACTCTAGCATGTCCATTCCCACCAGGGGAGCCATCAGGACCAGAAGTGACTCTGTGAGTCCTGAGGGTGGCACGTGCACAAAGCGTCACATGATGCCGCTGTGGCTCTGGAGCTCACCCCTTTGGAAGGGTCTGCAAGGTTTTACCCAGGAATTTTTCTGTTGCTTTTGGGTCATAAGATTATTTCACATCTCCTCTTTCTCCAAGTCCAGTATATCTTTGTTGTGTCTTGTGGCTGATACCTGTCCCCAACTTCTACTGCTAGTAAAGGATTTTCCTGGATTTTTAACAGCTTTATTGAGATACATTTCACTTCCATTTAAAGTGTACAACTCATTGGGTGCAGTGGTCACATCTGTAATTCCAGAGACTCAGGACTCTGAAACAGGAGGGTCAAATTTAGCAAGGCCCTAAGCAACTTAGCGAGACTTTGTCTCAAAAAAAAAAAAAAAAATCAAAATGGTTGAGCATGTGGTTCATGGTAAAGTGCCCCCAGGTTAAACCTCCAGTACACAATTTTAAAAAATAAACTGTACAACTCAGTGGTTTTTGGTATATTCGCAGATGTGTGTGATCATTGCCAGTCTTTTTAAAACATTTTCGGCACTTCATAATAAACCCTGTAACACATGTAGTTGTTGCCTCTTCCCAAAACTCCTGGATCTCCACCCACTTCTGTTCCCACTGCAAGGAACCATCAGTCTACTTTCTGTCCATATAGATTCCTTATTTTGAATTTGCATAAACAGAACCATATAGGATCTGGTCTTTTGTAACCAGCTTTTTTCATTTAGCATGTTTTCAAGGTTCATCCACATGGATACAGCTGTATCAGTATTTCAATCCTTTCTATGGCTGAATAATATTCCATTGTATAGCTGTATCACAGTTTTCTTCATGCATCAGTTGATAAACATTTGAATTGTTTCCATCTTTTGACTTTCATGAACAGTGCTGAAATAGCATTTGTATACAAACTTCAGTGTAGACATGTTTTCATTTCTTTTGGGTTATGTACCTCTGAGTGGAAATGTTGGGCAAGATGGAAACTCTATGTTAAATAATTTTAGGAAGTGCCAGACTGTTCTCTAAAGCAGCTGCTCCACTTCACATTCACACCACCAGTGTAATTTCTCCACATCCTCATCAATACTTGTTGTCTGACTTTTGACTCTAGCCACACTATTAAGCTGTATCACATTGTGGATTTTTTCTCCATTGTAATTTAATTTGCATTTTCCTGATGACTGTTGGTGTCCATCATCTTTATGTGCTTATTGGCCATTTTTTTAAATCTTTTTTAGAAAACTGTATATTTAAATCCTTTACTCGTTTTCAAATTAAGTTTTCTTTTTAATTGAGTTGTAGGCTTTCTTAGATATATTCTGAGTACAAGATCCTTATCAGATATATGATCTGTAAATATTTATCCCATTCTGTGAGTTGTCTTTTCACTTTCTTGATGGCATCTATTGAAACACAATTTTTTTTTATTTTACATTTTGATGAAGTCAAATTTATCTATTTTTTCTTTCATTGCTTATGCTTTTGGTGTCCTACCTTAGAATACTTTGCCAAGTTCAAGTTCACAGAAGATATACCCCTTTGTGTTCTCCTAAGAGTTTTATATTTTTAGTCTTACATTTAAATCTTTCATCTATTTTGAGCTATCTTTTGAGTGTGGTGTTAGGAAAGAGTCTACCTTCTTTCTTGGACATGTAGTTATCCAGTTGTCCCAACACTATTTGTGGTAAAGACTATTTTTTAAAATCATTTATTAGTTCTTTTTAAATTGCTAGAACAAAACACCTGAGGAAGGATAATTTTTTTATTTGTTTTAATTAGTTACACATGACAGTACAATGACCTTGACATATCACACATTTTAATCAGATGGGATATAATTTCTCATTTTTCTCACTACAGGTTGTAGAATCACATTCGTCATGCAGTCACATATATACACACGGTAATAATAATATCTGTTTCATTCTACTATCCTTTCTGTCTCCCCATCCCCTCCCCTCCCCTCCCCTCCCCTCCCATCACTTCTCTCTACCTAATCTAGGGTAATGCTATTTTTTTTCTCACATCTTCATACATGTATTTTGTATAACAATGAGGGTCTCCAGGAAGGGTAATTTTAAAAAGAAATTTAATGGGCTCACCGTTTTTGAGGCACAATGTCCACATCTGGTGATGACTTCTTGCTGGCAGAGTTCTGAAGTGGGACAGAGTATCACATAGAAAGAAATAGGAGCCAGGTACAGTGGTGCATACCCGTAATCCCAGTGACTCAGGAAGCTGAGGCAAGTGGATTGCAAGTTTGAGGCCAGCCTCAGCAATTCAGTGAGATTCTGTCTCAAAATTAAAATTTTAAAAAGGGCAAAGGATATAGCTCAGGGGTAGAATGCCCCAGGGTTCAATCCCTAGTATCAAAAAGACAGCAAGGACACACAGGAGCATGTGTTTCTGGTCTCTCTCCCTCTTCTCATAAAGCCACCTGGGTTTAAT